CAAAATATATCTAACTGACATCTAACCAATGTATATACAACTAAACTGATATGTACATTAAACCAATATTATCTAAGGAAAGCTTTTCTCTCAAGAGCTTAACTTAGCCGCCGCTTGAACTAGCCACCGCTTGAACTATTGTTATGTTGTCGTCACCGCTTCTCCCTCCGCCTCGGTTACCACCGGATACGGCCCGTTCGTCTCCGTCTTCCTCTCACCCCCTCCTCCCTCTTTCTCTTAACGGCGTGGAAATGCCAGATTTGGTCTCTTCTCCGTTGATTGGTTCCGACTCTGCTCCTCTCTTTCCCAAATCTGTCTTAGAAAAGGGTGTTCTCGGCAAAGATCCTCCTCCCTCCTCAGCCTCGTCTTCTTTGCTTGCTCCCGTTCTAAAAGGGCAAGCTATTTCGTCTTCTGCTCTTCATAAGACGAGCCGAATTGGGGTTTCGTCCAGTAAATCGGGTAAAACTTCATCCTCTTCCTCACTACCGCATGGGTCAAGCCCAACTAAAGCTTCGCCTGTGGCTTCTTCTATTCCCAAGGTCTCCTCTACGGGTTTCAATTGGACAGAGAATATAAATCCTAGTTTTCGAATTCCAGATTCAACTGTTCCGGTAACTGTTTCTCCGGATGGTAGGCCTCGGGTCAAAGTTCCAAATGTGGTCTTCGAGAGAGGAGCAAAAATACACTCGGACTATATAGTTGGGATTTTCTACGGGAATGCTCCATCTTATGGGAAGGTCTGGGGAGTGCTTAACTTTCTGTGGGGCAAAGATAAAAAAGTAACGGTTCATAGCCTCACATCAAATGCTTTTCTTTTCCACATTTCATCGGCTGCTCTTCATCGTCGGGTGTTGCAGCATGAATTATGGCGGGTTGGTGATTCCCCATTCTTTGTCACAGAGTGGAAAGCTTCTTATAGTCTCAACCCTCCATCTTTAGAGAGAGCTCCTATTTGGGCAACTACTCAGTACATCCCTTTTGACTTGGTAACAGAAGAAGGAATGAGCTACATAGCCAAACCTTTAGGAAAAGTGGTTGATGCAAAGCCCTTCACTAGTATCAATTCGGCTCAAATCAAGGTGATAATGGATTTGTCGAAGCCCCTCCCGAAAGAATTGGAGATCGAGAGGGAAGATGGTGATATACGAATCTTGACTGTCTCGTATCCGTGGCTTCCTCCTCTGTGTTCCATTTGCAATGAGATAGGGCATAAGGCTTCTTTATGTCCTCGAGTCCCATTGTCCAAATAATCAGATGGTGTTGTGCCAAATCGAACCTCAAGTTGTGAAGCTCAACAATCTGGTAATGGTGCCACAGTCTCTACACTTTTTGATACCTCCCATCCCAAAGAGACTACTTTGTCAAAGGGGATAGTAATTCGCGTCAACCTCTTATACCTAGTGTCAAGGAAGGTTCAGTTGTGGTACCTAGGACTTTCCCAGTCCCTCGAGAGAATGGTCGGGGTCACTTATCTTCAAAGGATGTTGCTTCTAAACCTGCCGAAAAAAAGTGTCAAATAAGGCAGTGGTTCAATGGCCTACTTCCTCTTCTGTATCTACAGTAAATAACCAAGTTTGGCAGGTTATCTCGTCTTCGGGTAAAGGCTCTTGCAATGAAAACCGCATCAATGATGTTGCTTCTCCTGTTAGTAAAATGCATAATTCACCTCCAAAGTTGGAATTGAAGTGTGTAAATCAGTTTGAATTTTTGAGTCAAGATGGTGAGAAGATGGAGTCTGACAAGCAGTTAGCTATTATTGCCCAGCCTTCTCCCCCTTCCACTCAGTCTCTTGCTATTGTGTCGATCACACCGCATAAAAAGAAGAGGAAGAGAATCCTCAGCGGCTCACCTACTTCAGGTGACGGTTTTCCCCTGGTAACAGTGGAGCGTCACCAAATCAGTAATCTTTAATATGTCGGACACCTTTTTTGGAACGTGCGAGGTTTAAACGATATTACAAAGCATCGTCCGCTCACCAACTGGATTAAGTCAAAACCAGTTTCTTTTGGAGCGCTTCTAGAAACGCATGTAAGGAAATCAAATATAAACCACATTTTGTCTTCTATTGGCCCTGAGTGGCTGTCTATTAGTAATTACCAACACTCGGATCTCGATAAGATTTGGATTATCTACAAAGCTCCAACGAAAGTCAAGCATCTCTTCTCGGATCTTCAGTCTATTACGGTGGAATGAATTGGAATCGGGTCAAAGATTTATCTACACAGCCATTTATGCCTCAAATGACCTCTAACACTTCCATCACTCGGTCTTCTAGAGCAATAAGAGATTTTGGAGAATGTTTAGCAGATATAGGACTTTTTGATTTGCCATTCCACGGGCCAAAATACGCATGGTCTAACCAACAAACAGATGAACCGATTGCGAAGAAACTGGGCAGATGTTTGGTTAATGGGAATTGGATTTTGGCTTTTCCTACAAGTCATTGTTCTTTTGAAGCACCATTTCTCTTATCACTCTCTTTGCCACATAAATATGTTCTCCAAACCACCGGACTTTGGTACGCGTCCCTTCAAATTCTTTAACATGTTGATTAAACACCCTACATTCCTGGATACGGTTAAAGACGCATGGAGTGCAGCAGGTCCGGTCTCAACAAATTTGGCTAACTTCTGCTTTAAACTCAATAGTTTGAAGAAACCGATGAAGTCTCTTTGTAAGGACAATTATAGTGATATTGAAAAAAGAGTTTTTGAGGCATGTGTAGAGCTCAAGTCGTATCAGCTGTTAACACTCCAGGATCCTACAATCTCAAATGTGCATAATGAGTCAGCGGCAAGGGCTTATTGGTTAGCTCTTCGTCATGCCGAGGAGAATTTTTTCAGACAAAGATCTCGAATAAAATGGATGGCAGAAGGCGACCTTAACACGTCTTTCTTCCACTTTATTACTAAAGGAAGAAATGCTTACAATGCGGTGAAGTAAATTATGCTGCCAGATGGTACAAGAGCAGAGACGCTCAAAGACATACATGAGTACGCCGTTGAGTTCTTTACAGACATTTTGGGAAAGATTCGTGGCCAATTCTTTCCAGATCTCCCTGAGTTCTTGTCTTCGATGCCCTTACCAATATGTACACCAATGCACATTCTGGCCTTAAGTGAACCGGTAACAGCTGACATCATTAAAGCTTCTCTGGATCGTATGCCCTCAAGTAAAACTCATGGGCCTGACGGGTTTACTGCAGAGTTTTTGAAAGCAAGTTGGAGTGTCCTAGGAACAGAATTGACAAATAATGTGATAAGCTTCTTTAATTATCCATTCATGCCGGCCGCCTTGAACTCTACCTCCCTTGTGTTGATTCAGAAAAGGGTCGGAGCAGATGAGT